CTTGATGTCTGTGGGACTCCAGAGGCACCAACAGCTTCAAATATCTGTTTGCTGCTATGTAGTGGTATTTTAGCAGCTGCTCTCTTGATCCGATGCATGGATCTGGCATAAGTCTTCCTCAATGTGCCTTTATCTGCACAAACCCGTCTGTGCTCTGAATCAGCCACAAATCTCTTAATAGTGCGATGATCACGCTTAAGTTTTCGTGAAATATCTAATGTTTTCATACCTCATCCAAGGCATTGAACTATTTCACTCTTTTTTGGCAGCAGAGAGATCCTTTTTCTTCCCCATATTGCTTGAAAATGGTGCTCTGCTTAATAATGTGGAACACCCTCCTTTAGTAGTTTTTCCTTAAATTGGGCTCACCTGCCAATCTAATAATCACAGGTGTCTGAGATTGTTTTCAGTGATCAAAAGAGCCCTGACACACAATGCCATTGTTAGGGACCAGCCGGTGGTAGCCTCTAGCGGCCCACAGACCAGAATTCCCCAGGGCGCGGAATCTAAGTTCCGACTTGATTGTTCACCAGAGCCCCTGATGGTGGGGATGGACTTGGAGCAAGCCGAGACCAGATCGCGACCCCTGGGTGCAACCAGCTGTGGAAGAGGCACCTGTCGGTGGTACGCAGCAGGTGAGAGTCTGATGTGAGGAGGTAGAGTAAGCGAGGTCAGACAGGCTGGGTCGGTAACAGCGGAGCAGGTCGGTACAAAACAGCAGGCAGAAGAATAAACGGGTCACGGTCCGGGTTTGGCAACAGGAGATCAAAAGTGCAGGAGCAGGCAGGAGAATGGTCAGGCAAGCCAGGGGTCAGAGCAGGAGAAGTCAGCAGATCAGGATCAGGCAGGGTCAGCAGCAAAGTAAACTCACAGGAACACAGGAAAGACCATACGGCACTTGAGCATTGCAAGAGCTGGGTTTAAATAGCCAGCCCAACTCCTGACAGGCACTCCTGGGTCCTAATGCTTGCCTGGTGCCGTCATTGGTGACAGGCGCGTCTGGGTCCTAGTGCTTGCCTGCCTGTACGTTTTGTCAGGACTCTACGCATGTGCGGATTCGATCGCCGCAGCGATCTTCCCATTCCCTGACAGCCATCCATGAGTTAAACTGAAAAACAAAATATTTCATCTTTGTGACACTTAAATAGAATTTGCATAATAATTTGGAACAGGGTGTATGTATTGTATGTAGTATGTATGTAGTATGTGTGTATGTAGAATTTGTGTATGTACTATGTTTGTATGTAGGATGTGTGAATGTAGTAAGTGTGTATGTAGTGTGTGTGAATGTAGTATGTGTGAATATAGTGTATGTGTATGTAGTAAGTGTGTATGCAGGGTTGCCAACTGTTTGTATGTTTAGGGACTGTTTATAAATTTCAGGTGCCATGTTCAAAGTCTTTGTCCATTCCTTGCGCCGCGTCTGCAATCTCTCCTTTGCGCCGTGTCCGCAGTCTCTGTCCATCCCTTGCACCGTGTCAGCAGTCTCTGTTCATCCCTTGCGTCATGCCCGCAATCTCTGTCCATCCTTTGTGTCGTGTCTGCAGTCTCTGACCATCCCTTGCGCCATGTATGCAGTCTCTGACCATCCCATGTGTCGTGTATGCAGTCTTTGATCATCTCTTGTGCCAGGTACACAGTCTCTGACCATCTCCTGTACTACGCCTGCAGTTTCAGACCATAATCCTGTACTAAGCCTGCAGTCCCCGACCAACACCTGTACTATGCCTGCAGTCCCTGACCAACTCCTGTACTACGCTTGTAGTCTCAGACCATAGTCCTCTACTAACTGCAGTAACCTCTAGAAACCAATCAGTGAGTGGTAATGATGTGCTGTAACCTCTAGCAACCAGTCAGTGAGTGTAAACCAGTTATGTTTACATTACGTTTTTTTTTAGATAAGTCTATGATTGTGTTTATTCGTTTTTTGGGATGTTAAAGCGAAGAGCAAAATTGCATGGGGGGAGCCCAAGAGAATCTCAGACTCAGTTTAACCACACCCCCTTTAAGCCACACCCAATATATAGCATAATTTAAACAACACTGATTTTTGGTGTGACGCGCTTCGCACGCCGCCATTCTCTTGTTCTTATTAGGCCACACCCATGAATGAATGCCCCACTCCTAATTAATACACTGCTCCGCCCACGCTGTCTTTTTGGTCATACAGGAAAAAAGTGTTCATAAAATTTTTTTTGAAATGTTGGCAACTATGTTACTTCTATGTACATGGAGAAGTAGATAAAATATCCCTTTTGTCTTTGTTGGCAATTACATTATCCTTTATAAAAGAAACTGCTATGTGCCCCTACAGCAGGATGTAGATGCAAATAAATCGGTTTCTGTGTTACAAACCCAATCCTTCACAGACTAATTCTATACTGGCTAGCCATAGAGACACCCTGAAAATGACAGTATGGGGGCATGTACCTGTCACTTGTAGTGCAATTCCCTTGCTTAACGGACTGAAGCCCCACATGTGCAGTTGGCTCTGTAGCTAAATAGAGGAAAGGACAGCCAGATCATATAGAGATTTACCAAAAATTTAAAAATTGTGATGTATGATAATGAGCATTTCCAATAGAAAAATAGCTGAATGCCACCTCCTAGGAATCTATGGATGGATGGATCAAGGCATAAAAGCTCTGTTCAAGACCAGCCTTAGGGTACTTGCACATGGTGCTAATGTATAAACATCAGATTCCTGGCAGAAAATTTCTGCTTAAAAACTTGGGGATGGGCTGCATGGTGAATGTGCATATTCACGTGTACACGTGTGTAAAAATTATTCGGATTCATTCACAAGGCTATAAAAACACACATATAGAAATGTTTTCTAGTGAATCTGAACACAGCTGCATTGTTTTCATACAGGTGCTTACACATGAGCTGCTTTCACATCTGTAAGGCAGAATCCAAAAATCTGCGTCTGAGAACATGCGATTTACATGCTTACGCATATAAACGCATGTGTACGCATTTGTAATAGCATAAATTAAGTCTAAACAAAGGCGAAAAATAAATAATCATAAAAACAAGTTATATATGCATTTGCATCTTTATGCATTTAAACATATCTATACACAGGTATTGTACTGATCGTTACGCAGGAACTTTTCTCCTAGAAAACACGTGTGTAAAATCATCAGTAAATTTTCACGGGTGTATGAATGAAGCCTTCTAGCTTTTCTACGGTTGTGCCATGCTCGCATACTTGCGTGTATACATGCAAAATACTGTCCAGAGATGCAGTTCTTTTTTTACTGATCAATATGCAGCGAAAGTTTACACTCCTGTGTGTACTAGGCTAAAATCGCACTGGTTCACACCAAAAGTACTGCATGCACTACTTTTAAAAATATACTACAACCAGAGTGCATGGTACTGCAGTACCATGTGATCTGGTGCAGGCAAATGCACTGCGTTTGCAATCTTCATTTAGAGTTTCATTAGGAATACATGGACGCCCACAGTACATCACACACCCACTGCATTTTGAATGCAGTGCAAGAAACAAGCATGGAACGCGGATTTCCAGCACCACGTTCTGGTGTGAATGGCCTTTAGTCAGCCTCACTATGCCCCTTATTTGGTGTAGGCATAAGATCAAGTGATCTGTCCTGGCACGATCATATTACGAAATTATTATAGTTGTATGGGGCAGCACAGTGGCTAAATGGTTAGCACTTCCGCCTGGCAGTACTAGGGTGGTTGGTTTGAATCCCAGCCACAGCACCACCTGCCTGGAGTTTGCATGTTCTCTCTGTGCCTGCGTGGGTTTCCTCTGGGTACTCCGGTTTCCTCCCACACTCCAAAGACATACTGGTAGGTTAACTGGATCCTATCTAAATTATCCCTAGTATGTGTATGTATGAATGTGAATTAGGGACCTTAGATTGTACACCCCTTGAGGGTTAGGGACTGATGTGAATGTACAATATATAGGTGTAAAGCGCTGTGTTAATTGACGGCACTATATAAGTACCTGAAATAAATATATATATATAAATAAGTATGGACACATTGCTACCCCTGCAGAAACCTCAGCTGACTGCTGTAGAAGAATTGACTGGCCAAGTTGATTTTATTTTTCTCTTCAACTGCTACAGTATTGTGTTCCATGAAGATCAGCCAGTAAAGTCCACTTTTTTCCTCTTCCCTCGTCCACAAATTTGAAATCTCCTGAGCATGTATGTTTATGTAAACTTTTTCATTATGAAGCTCTTCTGATGGTCCTACTGTACCTGGGTATCCTACTGTAAAATGTGTATTGTTTTTTTTAATTTTATCAGACTTATTCTGTAGTACAGTATAATAGCTACAAATGTGCTGATAATAATTCATTTGATATGGATGCACACACATTACTTTCTTGGGAAGCACTAGTATATGAGGACAAGAGCTGGGGTTCTGGCAGGTTGAAAAGGGGCCCATTGCCTCTCTTGGTCTGGTGTTGAATCACATTGACCAGCAATACAGGGCTCAGATGGGCTTCTTCAGTGTTTATATACCTAGGCCCTACAGTCCCATGAGCACCTTAGACTATAGAATTGGTAAGAGGCCCAGGGCACCAAAACCATATATTTTCAGATAACCCGGGACCTATAGACAGTGTATTTGTTCATTTTGTATATCCTATGATAGTTGCACTATTACATGTCAAAACATTTTTTTTCCAAAATACACTAACGTTGTTATGATTGCACACAAACACAGTGGGGTAAATTTACCAAAACTGGTGCACCCAGAATCTGGTGCAGCTGTGGATGGCAGCCAATCAACTTCTAACTTGAGCTTGTTCAGTTAAGCTTTGTCAATAAAACCTGGAAGCTGAGTAGTTTCTATGCAGTTACACCAGATTTTGCACTCTCCAGTTTTGGTTAATAACCCCAAGTATTTTGTATATATAATAAGCCTATATGTGTACAAGCCTATATGTGTCATATGACGTCCTCCCATTCTAACCGCGCATGCGCGGCTCCGGAAGCAGGCAGCACGGCGATCGGAGGGACACAGCGGATCACCGATCAACGGAAAGAGCCAAAGATGTCGGCTCAGTCATGTGATCAGCTGTGTCCAATCACAGCTGATCGCATGTAAATAGGGAAATGCCGGTTATCGGCATTTCTCTCCTCACGAGCTGTCACGCTGACAGCTCGTAAAGAGAGGAGAGCCGGTAATCGGCATTCCGCAGAGGGGACATCTACACTGATCATCAGAGCACTGATGATCAGTGTGTCCTGATGATCTGTGTAGCCCCAGCAGTGCCACCTGTCAATGTCCATCAGTGCCACATTTCAGTGCCTACCAGTGCACATCAATGCCACATATCAGTGCCCATCTGAGCTGCCTTTCAGTGTCACCCATCAGTGCCAGTCAGTGCTACCTATCAATGCCAGTCAGTGGCACCTATCAGTGCTGCCAATCAGTGCCGCCTATCAGTGTGCATCAGTGCCGCCTATCAGTGCCCATCAGTGCCACCTAACAGTGCCAGTCAGAGCCACCTATCAGTGCCCATCAGTGCTGCCTATCAGTGCCAGTCAGTGCCACCTAACAGTGCCAGTCAGTGCCACCTATGAGTGCCAGTCAGTGCCGCCTATGAGTGCCATTTATGAGTGCTGCCTTTCAGTGCCCATCAGTGATGCCTGTCAATGCCCATCAGTGCCACCTACCAGTGCCTCCTCATCAGTGCCCATCAGTGCAGCTTATCAGTGCCCATCACTACAGCCTCATTAGCGCACATCAGTGAAGGAGAAAAATCACTTATTTACAAAATTTTATAACAAAAACTAAGAAAAAACTTTCTTTTTCAAAATTTTCAGTGGCTTTTGGTTTGTTTAAGAAAAAATAAAAAAAACCCAGAGGTGATTAAATACCACCAAAATAAAGCTCTGTCACAAAAATTATAAAAATGTCATATGTGTACAGTGTTGCATGACCGCGCAATTGTCATTCAAAGTGTGATAGTGCTGAAAGCTGGAAATTGGCCTGGGCAGGAAGGGGGTATAAGTGCTCTGTAGGCTAGTGTTTAAAGGGTCATATGCTAAAGATAATTATTGAGAGGTTATAAAATAAATTAAATTATCGTATCACCCAATATTTGGTCTCCATTCAATAGCCAAAAAGGCATGCAAAAAGGAGGATTTGTGAAAAGAAATTCACAGAAAAGCGGCTACATTATGAACAGAATGTGACACTCAGAAAAATTTCCAAAAATTATGCTTTATTACACTTATAAATATGACATATGGGCAGTCGCCCTGGTTTACCATCACCTCAGTATGAGACAATACACACAGACCTAAAACCATTAAAATAACACCAAGACCGGTCTAAATGCATGTGCAACAGAGAAAATGACTACAAGAGTCTAATGTCCCTGAGACACAGACACATAGGTGAACACTTCCCAAAGGAGGTGTATCCAAAAATTATACCATAGGTATACCATAATACATGTTATAATATTAGAATTCGGCTATTGCCATAATGGTTATATCCCAAATAGGGAATCCAAAAATTATACTATGGATATGGATATCACATGTATGCAATTCAGCAAGCACAATATGCGTCAAGAGGAGAACAATATGCCACAGGCCTGTATGAAAAAAGATATTATAACATGTATTATGGTATACCTATGGTATAATTTTTGGATACACCTCCTTTGGGAAGTGTTCACCTATGTGTCTGTGTCTCAGGGACATTAGACTCTTGTAGTCATTTTCTCTGTTGCACATGCATTTAGACCGGTCTTGGTGTTATTTTAATGGTTTTAGGTCTGTGTGTATTGTCTCATACTGAGGTGATGGTAAACCAGGGCGACTGCCCATATGTCATATTTATAAGTGTAATAAAGCATAATTTTTGGAAATTTTTCTGAGTATCACATTCTGTTCATAATGTAGCCGCTTTTCTGTGAATTTCTTTTCACAAATCCTCCTTTTTGCATAGTGTTTAAAGGGTGCCTTGACTGAAAAAGGTTGAGCAACACTGCTCTAGGCAATCAATTATTGAACTTGCATTAGGCATTCACAAAATGTGTGGCCAAATAAAGCTACAAATTAAGAGCGCTTTGTTTTTCCAGAGTACATAGAACCATTCACATCTGTCTGATGAATTCGTTTAATTTGTATTCCTTTTGTGACCACCTAGGACAGTGGTGGGCAACCTTTTATTTCAACTGAGCCAAATTTCGCCAAAACCACGATTGAAATCTATTTTGAGAGCCACATTTTTAAAACTGAAAATACATCCCCCATATAGTAATTCATCCCCCATATAATTCATCCCCCATAGTAATTCATCCCCCATATAGTAATTCATCCCCCATAGTAATTCATCCCCCATATAGTAATTCATCCCCCATAGTAATTCATCCCCCATATAGTAATCCTCCCCCATATAGTAATACATCCCCCATATAGTAATTCATCCCCCCTATAGTAATTCATCCCCCATAGTAATTCATCCCCCATATAGTAATTCATCCCCCCTATAGTAATTCATTCCCCATATTAATTCATCCCATATTAAGTCCCCCCTGTGTCAATTCACTTACCTTTGCTCCGCGCGTTCTTCTCGCTGTGTTCCCGTGCCGTTCTGGTCTTCAGGGCGAACTGTGAGAGGAGAGGAGTTCGTCACGCTGCCCCGCCTACATCCTGACAGCTGCAGAGTCCTGACTTTTGGGGCGGCCGCCCGAGAGGAGGGAGGGGGGCGGTTGCCCGAGAGGAGGGAGGGGAGTGGGCGCCCGGCACACAGAAGAGCCGCATATAAGTTTGTAAAGAGCCGCATGTGGCTCGCGAGCCGCGGCTTGCCGACCACTGACCTAGGACAACCTTTCTCATCCACTTACCCTAGAGGAACCCTTGAAACTATTTTTTTGATATTGGGGAACTCTTGCAATTCATTGGGGGTCAGTGGGAAAAAACCCTTTTATGTTACTGGACAGAATGATATAATTACAGACAGATTAAAAGATCATTGATGTCATGCTTGCATGCACTTGTTCTGTCTAGTGGTTCAGGCTCTGGAACTTCCTAGGCACCTTCAAAAGGGAAGTCAATTAGCCACAGTTCAAGTAAGGTTTATTTACTAAAGGCAAATATATTGTGCACTGCAAGTGTACTTGCTCTAGCTCTGAGGGTAAGCTCTAAAATGAAGGGAAGGTCTGCTGATTTCTATCATCCAATCGTGCAAGCAAAAACCAGACCAGGGGCAGACTGACAACTCATGGGGCCCTCGGGCAATAGGAAATTATGGGTCCTCGCCAACACTCAAACCACACCCATAAAAGTCTGTGAAAGGTATCAAGGGCATCTCATGGGGCCCCCTACTGACCCTGGGCCCTCGGGCAGTGCCCGAGTGCTCGAATGGTCAGTCCGCCCCTGCACCAGACTAACTTTTGTATACAGCTGATGCTTCGTTTTCTTTACACATTTTTATATCTTTTTGTGTGTGTATGTGTGTGTGTTCTTTTTCTGCAATAATGGTTTTGCACCTACCATATTTTTCGGTGGGGGGTGCCGCTCCAGAGGGGGGCAGATATGTTTTTCCTGCCAACTAATAATGATGCCCTACTGTCGGAGTGGCTGTAAGGAACCACCTGGCGGTACCCTCTAGCAACCCACCAGTTAGGATTCCCCAGAGCGCGCGGAGTCTAAGTCCCGGTCTGCTTGTTCACCAGGGCCCCTGATGGTGGGGATGGACTTGGAGTGAACCGAGACCAGGTCACGGCCCCTGAGTACACCTACCCATGGTAGAGGGATCGCCAGAGGTATCTGCAGGGTGAGAGCCTGATGTGAAGAGGCGGATGTGCCAGAGCAAGGTGGATGGATGGATGAGCAGGAGCGTGGTCAGACAAGCCGAGTCGGTAGCCGTGGGAGCAGTGCGGTACAAAGAAGCGAGCAGAGAATGGTCAGGTCACACGCCAGGTCAGCAACAGAAGATCAGATCCAATAGGGGGCATCTAGGAGGGAGATCAGGCAAGCCAGGGGTCAGAGCAGGAGAGTACAGCACAGTCAATCCGGGTCAGCAACAATCAAGAATCACGAGTTTGCAGGATCAGGAAAACAGAGAGACCAAATGGCAATTCATGTCAGCGCAGTGCAGATATAAATACCGCGCCCTGCGCTGTCATTGGTGCCAGACGCGCACCCGCGGCTCCGAGTGTGCATGCGCGGGTTTTGTCTCCGCCGCGGCCGGCCAGGACCTAGTGCCCATACACCAGTGAACGGGCACACTGCGCCTGCGCCGAGCCATGTGTCGCGGCGACTCCTGACAGTGGCCTTGGGAGGGGATAGGGCTGGTTGCCCCCTCCACTCCCTTTATCACACCATTCATTTTGTTATATGCCGTTTGGGGCGGGTTGCTCTGTGCACAAATCATGTTCTCCACTCTAGGGTTTTCAATGGCTTTCATGGTATTGATTTTGTTGCTTAGTTTAGTATTGTGCTATAGGACCTTAACTTTTGACCTTTCTCCCTCATCAGATGTGAGATATGTTGCATGCATCATTCAGGAGTTAGCTGTAACTCAACATGCCAGTCAAAGGTCTTATGGTCGTGTTTCCACACTGATTTTTTTTTTTCTTCTTTTTGTCTCTTATTCCCCACTGCTGTTTCCATTTTTTATTGTTTGTTTTCCTTGTTTTGACTGGGGCACGGGGACTCCCTACATAAAGCAGCTCTTTTACTGCTGTATATTTACTATGGGCGTCCTCCTTAATGTTAAAAGTCTCCTCCCTTAATTGTAGAGGGTTCAAAACCGCTGAGAAAAGTAAGACAAATTCTTTATCACTTCCACAAAGCTAAAACCCAAATTCTATTGCTTCAAGAGATGCATCTTCTTGAAACTGAAATACATGCAATCGATATTTACTATTGCTAAATCACTAATGTTTATTCTCCTCTAGGAACAACTGCACTTCTTTTCAGCCGTGACTGACTGCCTGGAATTATTCGCAACTACTAATTTGATCCTGGAGGGGAGATCTTAATGTGCCACTGATCCCAAGACTGTATGGGTAAGTCTTCCATTTCACCAACACACTTGACTATGATTCGCTCTCTTCTTTCCAGACTAGCACTGACAGACATTTGGCGGATACTGAATCCGACCGCCAGGGACTACACTTATTTTTCTGCTGCACATACCTCCTATAGCAGAATTAACTACATTTTTTTATCCTAATTTCTTTTGGACATTGACTCTTCCATTGGCCTTAAACTGTGGTCTGATCATGCCCCAATACATCTCTCGCTAGGCCGCCTCCCTACTTCGATCAGAGGCTATTCTTGGAGACTGAATGATAAATCTCTTGCCTGACCCTGTCTGTACACAAGCGATATTCCAAGCTATAAGGGATTTTATTTATGACCATGTCAATGACCAAACTCACCCAACTAAAAAAAATAGGAAGCGCTGAAATGTGTCTTACGTGGAGTCTTCATACAACATAGCTCTAGACTAAA